ACTAGGCAAACAAACTAGAGTTTTGTCCTCTTTGCAAACTGATAAAGAATATCAGACACTTCTTAGTCTTGCAGGGAATCTGTTTGAATTGGGATATAATCCTGACTGGCATCACTTTTATGAAGGGTATCAAAGTTTTCCAGCAGCCTTTCCAAGGTACCAGTTTGATCGTAAGAAGCTAATGACCTATTTTGACATCCACCAACAAGCAAATCGAAGAGCTGTAAACTCAAATCATCCTTTGATTTGCAGTTTGAACAACGACAACACCAAATTCAACTGCCCAGTTTCCCAGGCATCAGCACCCTATTTATATGAGCACAAGAACAATGGTGTTGCTTTAGTTCCAGGTGCATTTTTTGCAGAGCTCGGTTTGGCATCTGTGATGAGTAGTTCGAGGCCGAAAGTGCCTTTAAGTACTTGTCAGATTAGTATCAATTTTTTGGCACCATGTGTTTTAAACCAGAATTCCCATGATTTAAAGATAGAATTGGCGTCACAAAAAACAGTGACAGATTTCAAAATACTGTCATCCTCAGCTGCAGTTTATGCATCAGGACAAATTACAAAGAAGTCTGAAGCTGCAGTGGAAGAAAACAGCATCTCCTTTCAAGATATCTTTCAACGGTGTAAATCAGTAGTTACAGCCGATGAGGTTTATGAAACACTGTCTCAGGTTGGATTTCAATATGGTTCCATGTTCAGACAGTTAAGTGATGTATTTTACTGTGAAGAGCTAAAGGAAGCTATAACCAGCATAAAGGTGAACAGAGAGACAAGAGAAGAGATGTCTGACTATTGTATCCATCCAGTGCTGTTAGACTGTTTTCTACAGATGACCGCTGTCATGACGACAATAACTTTCCAAACCAGAGCAGGCTTTCCTTCTGGCATAGGCAGCCTTGTAGTTTGCAGACCTTTGGAGGAGGAAATGATGATATATTTGAAAACAAGCAAATCGACTGGGAACTACTTAGAGGTTTGTGGATGCTTTACAGATAAACATGGCTCTGTTTTGGCAGAACTGAAACGTGTTGGGATCACTTTTATGAAGCCAACATCCCCCAGAGACAATGACTTGCTCTTTGAAAATAAGTGGAAAGAAATATTTCCCGCTCAGACCATAGGAAGTTTAGGGGAAGCACCCAGAGTCATTGTGTTTGCTGACAGACTTGGAATAGCTCAGCAGCTCAAAAGATACTTACACAATGAGTCGAGATATGTTATGTATGAAGATTGGGAGACATTGCTGGAAGCCAAGAGTTCAGAAATGACTGCACAACATAAAATGAAAAGGGAGCTTGAAGACTACCAGGATGTTTTGTTCATGTGGGGAATTCAGAAGTTAAATGACCAATTCCCAAGGAAAGTGGTGGCACATTTAGCTAAGTGTTGTGAGGCTTATCGCCAAATTATTGTGGCATTAAGAGAGAAAAAATCCAGTTGTTCAGTTAGAATAATCACCTACAGAACAACAGATAAAAATGTAGATCATCTTAACCCTGGGTTTGCTTTGTGTGGCATGACGAGAACCTGCATAGTTGAAGTTTCAGAAATCACATTTCAGATGATTGACATCAGCTCTTCGAGTACACTGGACATCTCAGCCTTAGCAGATGTTATTGTAAAGTATGAAGGACAGGATCATCCAGAAATTTGGATCAATCAAGGAAGAATTTACACTTCGGAAATCAGACGCACACCATTTAAAGATGTGGATTACAGTCAACCTTCAAAGTCTCTTCAGAACTCAGAGACGTTTACTTTATATACTACAGATCCTTACCAAATGAAAGATTTATCTGCTGAAATAGCCAATAATACCATTACTCAGCTTGAAAATCACAGTGTTGAAGTTCAAATGGATAAAGTATGTATCCATTCAGAAGACTATTTTCCTGTTAGCATTTCAAGCTGTAACTTTGGGAATACATTGTATTGGAATTCATATACAATAGACAAACATAAGCTTTTAGCTCTGGACTTCAGTGGCACAGTAACTGCAGTAGGCAGTGAAGTGAAAAAAATTAAGGTAGGAGATCATGTGGCTTCATGTTATCCACTTGTTGCATCATCAAGAGTCACGGTTCCAGGGACAGTTTGTTTCAACATCAAGAAGTTTCCATGCTTTAGAAATGTACCTTGTGTGTCATACTTTATGGTAGCATGGGAAATTGTAAATCAAACATTACCAAAGATGAAACATAGTGGGACTTTAGGTATTATTTCTACTGAACCAGAGTCAGTTTTGTGCAAAGTGCTCACTCTGACAGCACAGGAAATGGGCTGGAGAACAGTACTTGCAAAACCTACGTCTGATCATTGGCAACGTGTAAATCAGTGCAATGCCCTTGTTTATCTGCCTCCAGTAGATGGAATGCCTAAGGAAGTTCTAGTCCGTCTTTCCCATCTCCGAGACCTTGTGATAGTACATGGTAATCAACAGTCTGAATGTTTTCGATACCTAATTGGAAGTGATCAAGAAAACATTCATGTTCATATACTGAAACTTTTCAGTACCTTTCAGAAAGCAGCTCTGAAACAATCCCTAAGGGCTGTCCACGGATGGATCAAATCAATGCAAATGAAAGAATTAAAAAACCTATCATATTCTGTTTTTCAGCAGACTGAGAGCTTTGAAAGTACAAACAGTGCAGCGACCTCCTATTTCACCTGCAAATCTATCCCACTGGCTGTGCTGAAAGGGGATGTGGCGACCAACAGGATTTCAGATATACCTGTGTATGAAGCACAGAAGAAAATGTTTAATCAGAATGCAGTTTACATAGTGGCAGGGGGACTCACTGGGCTTGGATTTGAAACTGTGAAATTTATAGCCCAGAATGGAGGGGGCTGTATTGCAATACTTTCAAGGAGCAATCCAAGCAGTGAGAAGCAAGAAGAAATCAAGGCTTTGCAGAATCAGTGTGAAGGGAGCAGAATAGTCAGTTTGCAGTGTAATGTTATTTCTAGCTCTCAGGTTGAGAAAGCTATGAGTTCAATTGACAGAATCTTCCCAAAGAACCCAATCAAAGGTGTATTCCATAGTGCTGTGGTTTTGCATGATGGACGTCTTGAAGCTCTGAACTTATCTCACTTTGAGAAAGTGTTAAGTCCCAAAGTTGCAGGGGTAATAAATCTCCACCAGGCTACCAGAGGGCAGGAACTTGACTATTTTGTGTGTTACTCCTCTGTGACTTCATTTCTTGGAAATTCAACACAAGCAAACTATGCTGCTGCTAATTCTTTCCTGGATGTTTTCTGCCACTACAGGAGGAATTGTGGACTTTCAGGACAATCCCTTAATTGGGGTGCCTTGAATCTTGGCTTACTGCTAAATCAAAACAACATTCAAAATATTTTGGAATCCAAAGGCATAGATATTCTGCAGGTACATGAAATTTATGAATATCTTAAAAAAAGCTTAATTCTGAATAATCCTCAGCAAGCTGTAGTCAAATTAAATTTTGGAACTCTAAGCAATCATGTTCTTTCTCGAATAGCATCACTCAAAAGTCGCTTCCGTACACTCGTTTCAGAAGAATTCGGCAGCAAACTTGAGGTATCTGAACAAGGAACCCCTCAGAATTTATCTCCAGTCAATTCTGAAGATTATATCACCTCATTGGTGAGTTATCTCAGTAGTACAAATGCAAGTGATCTTACAATGAACACATCACTTGCATCACTGGGCATGGACTCTATGTTAGCCATGACGCTACAGAATCGTATCTTCCATGAAAGAAGGGTGGAGATCCCCCTTGTGAAACTACTTGATCCTCACACAACTATGTCAAGTTTAGTACTATTTTTAGAAGAAAGTTCTAATGAATGTGGGTCACTTGAGAAAACAACTTATGTAGCAGAAAGTATCGAAGATGGAAGCTGGTTATAGGAACCCATTTCATGGAGTAATTTGGTAACTTTGGAGTTACTAGGACCCTAGTGATATTTCAAATCAATCATCATACACTTTGGGTAGAATAAAGCTTTGAATGATAATAAGTTAGTTCTTTACCACCAAACCAGCTTAGTTTTGGTACTGCACTTTACTCATTGTATGCATCATACCTTCTGTATGTAGCACACATTTTTTGTTAACATGTATTAGTAAAAACCACAGTAAATTGATGTATATACATCTTGATTTTGCAGATTTGTATATGAAATAAAATATAAGTAAATTGTATATATTTTCTGTTTCGATATTAATGAATAATAGATTGATTTGACTGCATCTTAAATAATGAATATCGTAAAATAGAACAACACAATATCTTAGCAATTGTTTGTGATTTATATTATTCTTATTACTTGCCTATTACATATGTTATTTATGAATACATATCATTTCCATTCAAATGAAGAAATGCCTTGCATGATGCTACCACATATTGTTTGTAGGGTTGTAGCCACCTTGGTCCCAGGATACACCGGTCTTTTCTCTTCACCATATATCGTAAATCAAAAAGCTGTCACAACTGCTACAAGCTTACATTTTTTCTGTTTTAGTTATGAATGTTTACATATCCATGAAAAATATCAGAATGAATATATATAAAAGCACACAGTATAACAAGTTAATCTCAGTTCATTGTATCAATTATTATCCATCCACTATTAAAAAGCAAACGCATAAATACAGTAGAAAAGAAAAAACTAGTAAGTGTTTTCCATTTTTCACTGCCTTGTTTTATTTCTTCTTTTTCTCCTCTCCCCCCCACCCTTTTCCCTCCTTAATGCTTTTTTAAAAGCCCTTATTTCATTCAGGGTAAAAAAGGTAATATGGAAAGGTTGATATTTTTAGAGGAGCTTGAAGAAGTTAGGTTCCCAGTTCTCAGTGAAATTCCCTTAGGTTCCTTTGAGCCAATGTTTATTATTGTCCTTTTTAAAATAATACCTCTGGGAGAAAGTGGAAGGGATAGTATTTCACCAAAATAAGACAACAGCTTCTGAAATTCAACAGATGCTGCAAGATATCCAGTTGGAATTCACTGGAGTTCAGTGAACTGCTTATGATGATTAGGCTTGGTAAGATTATATTTTTATTGGTAAATCTCAATGAACATTGATTTCACTGAACACACACAAACTGATGTCAAAATATTTCCATTGATTAATAATTCAAATGTACAAATATGCAAAAAAGAAAAATGTTGCTTTAGAAATTATTAGCCCTGGATTTAAGGATATTTATTTTTTATATTTTGACATTTGATGTTGACCATTTGTGTTTTAACAGTAATAAAGCTATAAGTTTTTGAAACTGGATGTCTACTTTCATTAAATAATTGTCTGACCCCACCATAGTTTCCTGCAACTATGAAATTTAAATAAACATGCTTAAAATCCATAATTTTGCACAAATCTGAACATTTTAATTGATAAAAATCTTTTTAAAATGCTTAAAAATAAACATCGATATTACCCCAAAATAAAAATTGAATTCTGCCAAGTCTACTTATGAGCAAGTCAACTACAGACCCAGTGATGCTGGGGAGAATCCAACCACTAAAGAGTCAATATGCCTCAGATGCTTGATAACGGCAGTATTATGTGGATTATGTACTGGAAGAAATGAACTTAAATAGTGCTCTTTAAACAGGTGTTTCCATTTTGTCTTTTTCACTCAAAGCCAAGGAGACATTTATGCAGGGAGCAGGGCAGAGAGTTAGAATTTTGCAGGACACCGTATTTGGGGAGGGCAGGAAGTGCTGAGAAGCAGCTAAGGCTTGTGCTGGACTGGGGTGCACATGCAGCTATTGCTCTGATAAACACTCACTTCTGTTTCACTGACAATGTCTGAGGCTCACAGTTCTGTGGATGAGCCCCCCCACACACCGTATTGTGGGGTTATTGCTACATTACAACAGTGGGCCTTTCTGACACCTTGGTAACAGCAGCAGTTTTGCAGGGCACATAAAAGGAAGCCAGGAGGAAACGGATCAAGTACCAAAGGTTTGTGGAAGCCTTGAAACCCTGCAAAACTCTTATCCCTCGGACTACAGCCGTCCCAAATGTCCCTTCCTTGGGTGAAATCCTGGCCCCCATTAAAGTCAGTGGCAAAACTCCCACTGCCTTCAATGGGTCAGGATCTCACTCTTCTGTTTTACATAAGAAGAAAACTATAGTCAAAGGGATTGAGGTACAGTGGGACTGGGATGGACAAAGCCTTAGAGGTCCCTTTTCCTTCTTTTCCCTGTAGGTCCTTGCCTACCCAGTCTGATGCTGATGAGTGGGTCCCACATCTCTAAACAAATCTACTGACACCCTAGGGCCTTCTGCTTTATTAGTGTCAGCCTCCGTTTTTTGTGAGCACAGTAATGAAGAGATTGAAACCCTCAGGCACTTCTGGCAACTGTTTAATGTAAACTCACTCAAATAAAAAACACACTAAAATAACACAAACCTTCCAGCTTCCCCTAAACCAAATGTCTGTAAAATGGGGATAATGATGTTGATTTTCTTTGTGAAGTGCTGCAAGAACTACTGATGAAAAGTGCTATATACGAGCTCAGCGCTATATTATTATTTATCATTATTGTGTTAATCACTGCACAAACACGGAGAGTGAGAGACAGTCCCTGCCTCAAAGAGCATACAATGTAAATAGACAAGTTAGACTCAGGGTGGGAGAAGGAAAGCATTTTTATCCCCATTTTTCTGATAGAGAAATCAAGGAGAGCAGATGGAGAAAAGAATCAAAAATTGGGAGTGCTTGAGAGGCAGGGAATAATATTAATGCTGATAGAGCGAGACACAGGTGAGTCTGCAGTGCATCACCTTTAGGCAAGTTTTGGGTGCTTAAAAAACAAGGTGAAATATTCAAAACATTTTTAAGCCATTTGTGTTTTCCCAAAGTCAGGTCAGACTTTGGTTGTACAAAGTGTCTGGCTGCTCAGGTCTCTGCTTGGGCAGCCAGCCAGGGGGTTTAAAAACCCACTGCTATTGCATGTGTGCCATACTCTCAGTGTTGTGCCCTCAGTCCCTGCTGCCCTACCCCCAAACCCAGTTCTACCCAAGCGCTATAGCAGCATCTGAAGAAGTGAGGTTCTTACCCACGAAAGCTTACGCTCCCAATACTTCTGTTAGTCTCAAAGGTGCCACAGGACCCTCTGTTGCTTTTTATCTTTGGAGTATTATTGAAAAAGAGGAATTTTAAATTACTATAGTGGGCCCTCTGCCAGTGGGCATTAAGGGGCTTTTAGGATCACTGCTTCATACTCGAACTGCCAGGAGAGACAGCTCTCCACAGAATGGTTAGTAGTTTTTGTCTGCCCTCTTACGATTAATGCACATTTAATAGTTATCCATAGCTTCTTAGAATATATCACAGAAAGAGCAAATCCTCCCTCAAGGGTCAGGGCCTTTCAGGAGACCTCCAGCCACCACCACCACCAGAGATCCCAAAACCATTGCGTGCTGACCTGGGGTGTGTCCCAGGAGACGATATTTCACTCTGTAACCAGCATCTGTATGTCCATCCAGTCTGGCTGATTGTAACCTATAGCTCCTGCAAACTCCAACGCCTTGAAAGTAGCTTGTTCTTTGCTACACATGGGCTGGGCCAGGCAGATTTCTGGCAGGGAAACTGTGGCAACCCTTTCAAATGTCACCAAATCATTTGGTTACATTTGGGTCAGAGGGTAGCTATTAAACAGGGTCGCTGCTGATGAGGTCAGATGGGTCAAAGGTGGCAACTCGGCTGCCATCTGCTGCAGTAGGTCCCGGGGTGCTTCTGCTGTTGTGCAATAAGCTGCTGTTCCTGAGTTGCCAGTTGCTGCAATACTTAAGTGCTGCTGCTGCTCCTAGGCCTGGTTTTCAATCAACCACTTTAACAATTTGTCTGCTTCCATGGTAATATAGGGCGCCCTACATTTAAATTTCATGAGAACGTACATTATGAGAAAGCCCAAATAATGCTTGCACAACTTAACACATTCTTGACAATATTTCTTTTGAAATCTTTATTGGTCATTTAACAGAGAATAGATAAAATCAACAGAATACATCCAACAACATATATCCTTCATAGAATACAAGAGAGTGGCAATCTTAAAGCTGGTCACTGGATTATGTCAAGCAGGGTTATAATGAGTGACAAAAGATTACGCAGCAGTGTGGAACTGGTTGGAGCTCTTCAATGATCTCCAAACTTTTTAATACTTTCTGTAGCGTTTTGGTAAAGGAAAGTGTCATTTCTGAAGGGTTTTATCTGGACTCTATTGAAACATGCTTTTAACGTTAAATGTATTTTAACAAAGCTTTTTTGTTTGGTAATCTTCTAATATGATATCATTTCACTTGACCCACGTTTTCTCTTATGATCTAAGGGCTTATCTGGATGAACAGTTTGTGCATGGCAAACTGGGGTCTAATCTACAGTACACTTGCATGCTGTGCAGTAACTGTCCATGAGGACTCTGCTACAGTGCGCTAAAAGTTCCCTAGTGGGCTTTGAGCTACTCCCATTAAGTGTTAAACCTGAACAGTACAATCTGTGACATTTTCATACAATGCTAATTTAAATCTGCAGATTAATGTTTTGAAACCTTCAACGTGTTCTTTTTGGCTGATACGCTGTATTTTAAATTGTATGTAAATTTATGAGCAATCTGGATTTATTTTGTCTTCAGCATGAAGCTGTTTGATACATTAATTGGATTTTGTCTGTTACTAAAAGAGCTGCTGTTTTTTCCTATTGTTTTTATATTTACTCTTTTGTTTGATGATGTGCCATAAATTCCAAAAAAGGTTAAAAATACCGGAATAAAAACAAGACCATGAACAGCTCCAAACAAGATAACGAGAAACATAATCTTAAAAAATGTTCTGAAGATGTACGTTTGTGCTGCAGACAGCACAATTACTCCTAATATAGTGGAGATAGCACCTTGTATCACGGGGTAGCCAAGAAGATACAGTGCATCAACTGCCTTCTCATTCACAGTTGACTTTTCACTTGAAACAAATGCATAAGATATATGAGCAGAAAAATCTACTGAAAATCCGATGCAAATGACAAGGTTGATCATAGATATGGAATCAAGATTGACATCCCAGTATGTCATGAAACCAGCAACGCCAACAACAACAGAAGCAATAGCGAAAGTTACCCACAAGGAGCAGAGCGGATTGGGAATAAGCAGCAAGGAAACACACAACACAACTCCAGTAGCAATTCCAATATTCTGAATGGTGTTTGGCACTATTACGATATACTGATCATAGTATATAAATGCTGGGTGATATACC